TGCACCCCCTTGCACTGCACAGCCCCCCTGTACTTCCCTGCACCTCCTTGCACTGCATTGCACCCCGTACACTGCACTGCACCCCCATGCACTGCACCCCTACACTGCACTGCACCCCCTCACAGCGCCCCCAGATTCACCCCGTCACTGACACCCCCGTGCCATGAGCCCCCGCGCTGCGCGACACCCTGCAGCAACACCCTGCAGCAACACCCTGCAGCAACACCCCGTGGCGACACCCCCGGCGCCGTCCCCCGTGCACCGTGGCGACACCCCCGGGGTCCCCACCGCCTCCACAGGCTCCTGTCCCCACGTGGTGACGGCGGGTGGCCCTGTCCCCAGCCCGTTTCCATCCCGCTCCTCTCTCGCTCCCATCCCGCTCCCGTCCCGTTCCACTTCCCGCTCCTGTCCTGCTCCCGTCTCGCTCCCGTCCCGCTCCCGTCCTGCTCCACTTCCCGCTCCCGTCTCACTCCCGTACTGCTCCTCTTCCTGCTCCCATCCTGCTCCACTTCCCGCTCCCGTCCCGCTCCTCTTCCCGCTCCCGTCCTGCTCCCATCCTGCCCCGCTTCCCACTCCCGTCTCGCTCCTGTCCCGCTCCTGTCCTGTTCCTGTCCTGCTCCACTTCCCGCCTCCGTCCCGCTCCCGTCCTGCTCCGCTTCCCGCTCCCGTCCCGGCAGGTGGTGGCCGCCACCCCGGCTCCCCACGTGCCCGTCCCACGGGCGCCTTTGTGCGCAGCGGGCACCGGAGGCGCCCAACAACTCGGCCACCCCCGTCCCGGCGCATCCCGCGGCGGAGCCGCCGGCGCCGCGGGAGCCTTGGCGGGCGCACGGAGGGGCCGGCGCTTCCTGCGCCGCCCCGGCGCCTTTTGTCCCTTCCGCCGCTTCCCGGGCGGCGCCAAGCCGGGGGGGGGGCCCAGGTGCGGCCGGGCGGCCTCCGGCGACGGCCCCCGCGGCTCTTCCGGTCGCCCGCGGCGTTCCCGGGCGGACGGCGCCGCCGCGGAGCCGCCATGGCCTCCCTCGAGCCCAGGTGCCGCCGGGACGCGCCCCCCTCCTCCGCGCTCCGGAGCCTCCGGAGCCGCCGCGACGGCGGCGTGGCCGCGGCCGGGGGCTCCGGCGGGCGCCTTTGTGCCGACACGTGGCCGTTGGCGCCGGGGTTCCCGCGCGCGCCGGCCCCCGCGGCGTTCCCGGCCGGCTTCCCTCCGGAGACGCCGCTCTGCGCTCCGCTCCGACCTCCCCGTCTCTTCCCTCGCAGCCTGCAAGATCTGGAGCGGGATGAGGAGAGCCTGAGCGACAAGGTGGGTGCCCCCGGCGCGGGCGCCTTTCCCGGCGCTTTCCCCCCCGGTGCCGCCACGCCGGGCGCTCCCGCCATTCCGGAGCCGGGCGGCATCGCGGAGCTGGCGCGCGGAGCCGCCGTGCCGTGACTCATCGGAGTGGCACGGGAGGCAGCGGGACGCGGGAGCCGCCGGGGGCCCCGGCGCGGGGGCCGCATCCGGAGCGGCGGCACCGCGCTCCCGGTGCCGCCGGTCGTCACGGAAACGGTGCCGGGGCCGCCTGACGCCGTGTGTCGCCAGGACTGCGTCCGGGAGAAGCTGAGCCTCATCCATGGCTTCCTGCAAGCCGACGTGCAGGACCAGCTCGTGGACCTGGAGAGCAGGCTGCGGCGCGAGGAGCTCTCGGAGGTGAGASCCGTTCCCGGCGTTCCCGGCGYTCCCGGCGCTCCYGGCCTCATCCCCGTCCCTGTGTCCCGCCGCCGCAGGAGAGGTACCTGGCCAAGGTGAAGGCCCTGCTCCGGCGGGAGCTCTCGGCCGAGAACGGAGACGCGGCGCCGCTGCTCCCGGCCTCCAACGGCTGCTCCAAGAACGGCGCCTACGGGAGCGATGAGGACTCGGAGCGCGCCGGGCCGGATGGGGAGGAGGACGGCGCCATGGAGATGGAGGAAGCKGCCGCCTCGTCCTCCTCCTCCTCCTCCTCGTCCTCGTCGGCTCCCACGCCGCCGGCGCGCAAGGCCCGCAGGAGCAGATCCAACGGGGAGAGCAAAAGTAACCTGCGCATCGGGGGTTGAAACAGGGCGCCGGAGGCTCCCGGGAATGCGGGAGCCTTCCCGGGAAAAGCCTGGCAGGACCCAGGGGCGCGAGGGGGGCGCCGGCCGCGGTGCCGGGGGGGCTCACGGGGCTCCCCGCTCTGCTCCGCACAGGGTCTCCCGCCAGCGCCCGGGTGACGCGGAGCTCCGGCCGGCAGCCCTCGCTCCTGGCCATGTTCTCCAAGGGGTGAGTGGCGAGGCCGGGAATGCCGGGAACGCCGGCGCTCGCGGGGCCCCGGCCTCAATGCCGGCGCCTGGACCCGGCAGATCCACCAAGAGGAAGTCGGACGAGGTGAACGGGGAGCTGAAGCCGGAGAAGAGCCTGGAGAAGGAGGAAGAGGAGCTGGAAGAGGTGCGTGCCGGAGCCGGCCACGGATAAGATCCCGGCGCGCTCCCGGAGGGCGCCGCGCGCTCCGCCCGGCGCCGCCCGCCTCCCCTTAGCCCCTTTCTGCCTTTCGTCCCTCAAGGAGCAAGACGAGAAAAGGATTAAAATCGAAGCCAAAGAAGGGTGAGGAGCGGAGCCGGGCGGGCGCCCCCGGGCGCGCCGGGACCCCTTCATCCCCCCGCCCGGCTCTTCCCGCACGCAGGTCCGACATAAAAGACGAAATCCCTCAGGTTAAAATGACGCCGCCTGCCAAAGTAAGTGGCGTTCCCAGCCCTGCTCCCGGCGCTGCGCCGCTACATCCGGAGCAGGAGCCGGGCTGTGCCGCGGGAAGGGGTCTCGCGCGGGACCCCCGGGGCTCACGGCGCCCCCGGCCTCTCGCAGACCACCCCTCCCAAGTGCGTCGACTGCCGGCAGTACCTCGACGACCCCGACCTCAAGTTCTTCCAAGGGGATCCCGACGACGCGGTGAGCGCGGCGGYGCCGGGAGCGCGGCCGCCGCCACGGGGACCCCTTCCCACGCGCCCGCGTCTCGCCCGCGCAGCTCGACGAGCCCGAGATGCTCACGGACGAGCGGCTGTCCCTCTTCGACGCCAACGAGGACGGCTTCGAGAGCTACGAGGACTTGCCCCAGCACAAGGTCACCTCCTTCAGGTGAGCGCTGCCGCGCGCCAAGGAGAATCCAAGCGGGCACGGCGGGCTCCCGAACGCCTCCGAGCTGCCAACGTCTTCCCAACAGCGTCTACGACAAGCGAGGCCACTTGTGCCCCTTCGACACGGGCCTCATCGAGAGGAACATCGAGCTGTATTTCAGCGGCGCCGTGAAGCCCATCTACGACGACAACCCGTGTCTGGACGGTGAGCTCGGCCCCGCGCGTCCCCCCGATCCCGGCGTGCCGGGATGGGATCCAGCTCCGCGCCCCGGGAAGCGGGACTCGGTTTCGTGCCGATTCGGGCACGTCGGGGCCAAACCGGCGTCTTGTCCCGCTCAGGAGGGGTGAGGGCCAAGAAGCTGGGGCCCATCAACGCCTGGTGGATCACGGGCTTCGACGGAGGGGAGAAGGCCCTCATCGGCTTCACCACAGGTGGGTGCGCGCGGACGGGCGCTCCGGCGTGCCGCCGGCTCCGGCAGTTCCTGCAGTGCTCCGGAGTTTGTGCTGAACGTTCGTGCTGGAGCGGAGAGCCGTGGGGAAGCGCCCGGCCCGCCCTGCTCTTCCCAAGAGCCACGGGGCTCTTCCTGCTCCCTAGCTCCGCCGGGAGAAGCCCCGGAGCTTTGAGGGGGTTAACGGCTTCTGCTGTTTGCGAGGAACACAGCGCTCCCCAAAACCAGTTGTGTTTGAAACCAGAGCGCTTAGCTCCCCTGGGTGTCAGCAAATGGAGTTTGTAGTGGTGGGAAAGCCTGGCGTTCTTTGGTTCCTACGTGGATCCTGCATCCGTGCAGGGATGCAGGAGTGGGCAGTGCMAATGCTGCAGCTGCACGCGCAGCCCCTGCTGCGCTGGTGCCCACGGAGGGGCTGTTTTGGGGCCTCCCTGTGCGCCCGGGTGGTGCCCTGGGGCCGCCGCCAGCTCTTGGGGTGCTCACGGGGCGCCCCGCTCCCTCTCGGCTGCAGCCTTCGCCGACTACATCCTCATGGAGCCCAGCGAGGAGTACGCGCCCATCTTCGCGCTCATGCAGGAGAAGATCTACATGAGCAAGATCGTGGTGGAGTTCCTGCAGAACAACCGCGACGTCAGCTACGAGGACCTGCTCAACAAGATCGAGGTGAGCCGCGGCGGCCGGCGCGTGCGGCGAGCCGGCCYGGCCTCGGCGTCACCCACGTCGTGTTTGGGGGGGACCCGCTTGCAGACCACGGTGCCTCCCGCGGGGCTCAACTTCAACCGCTTCACGGAGGACTCGCTGCTGCGGCACGCGCAGTTCGTGGTGGAGCAGGTGGAGAGCTACGACGAGGCGGGCGACAGCGACGAGCCGCCCGTGCTCATCACGCCCTGCATGCGGGACCTCATCAAGCTCGCCGGCGTCACCCTGGGCAAGAGGCGAGTCCCAGCGCGTCCCTGCGCATCCCTGCGCGTCCCTGCGGATCCCTGCGCGTCCCTGCGCATCCCTACGGAGCTGCCGGGGCCCGCGCGCTCACGGGGACCCCTCCTTGCTTGCAGGCGAGCGGCGAGGCGCCAGGCCATCCGGCACCCCACCAAAATAGACAAGGACAAGGGCCCCACCAAGGCCACCACCACCAAGCTGGTGTACCTCATCTTCGACACCTTCTTCTCCGAGCAGATCGAGAAGGACGAGAAGGAGGACGACAAGGAGAACGCCACCAAGCGCCGGCGCTGCGGCGTCTGCGAGGTGAGCGCCGGCGCGGCGCCCCATTGCCGGGGTTTCGCCCCAAAATCGTTGCCCCCCCCGACTCAGCCTGTGCTCCCTGCTGCTGCAGGTGTGCCAGCAGCCCGAGTGCGGCAAGTGCAAGGCCTGCCAGAACATGGTGAAGTTCGGCGGCAGCGGCCGCAGCAAGCAGGCCTGTTTGCAGCGGAGGTAGCGCCGTGCCCCCCCGGTTCGGGACGGGGGGAGCCCGCCGCGGGGCCGGGCCCCGCCGCAGTGACCGTGTCCCCAGGTGCCCCAACCTGGCCGTGCGCGAGGCCGACGAGGACGAGGAGGTGGACGACAACATCCCCGAGATGCCGTCGCCCAAGAAGATGCTGCAGGGCAGGAAGAAGAAGCAGAACAAGAGCCGCATCTCCTGGGTGGGGGAGCCCGTCAAGGTGAGGGGCTCGGGGGACAAGGAGGGGGACCCCCTCGGCCGCGCGCCTCACCGGGCTTCACCGGGGCTCCCCGCAGAGCGACGGCAAGAAGGACTACTACCAGAAGGTGTGCATCGACTCGGAGACGCTGGAGGTGGGCGACTGCGTGTCCGTGAGCCCCGACGACCCCACCAAGCCCCTGTACCTCGCCAGGTGGGTGCCGCGGGGGGCGCGGGGGCCGCCCTGCCCGGCGCCCCCTCACCGGCCTCCTTTGCCTCGCCAGGGTGACGGCCATGTGGGAGGACAGCAGCGGCCAGATGTTCCACGCGCACTGGTTCTGCCCCGGCACAGACACCGTCCTGGGAGCCACCTCGGACCCGCTCGAGCTCTTCCTGGTGGACGAGTGCGAGGACATGCAGCTCTCCTACATCCACGGCAAGGTCCAGGTCATCTACAAGGCGCCCTCGGAGAACTGGTCCATGGAGGTGGGTGGCAGCCCCGCCAACGTCCCCGTCCGCCCCCAACGTCCCTGTCCCTCGCCAATGTCCCCGTCCTCGCCAATGTCCCCGTCCTCCCCCAAC